TAGCATCTAACTGTACAGGTACGTATACGGTACAAAAGGTTCGTACGAAGGAATTTTTACCCCGCACAAGGTTGTCAAGTCGATTTCGGCACTTGGCAACGCCGCCTCTGCCCGCTTGGCCCAAGCGCTTCAGGTACGATCCCGGCGTTCCACGAGCGCTCTCAACTATGGGCTATATCTCCGTAAATATGTCATATTTCGACTTGCTACTTTGTCAAAATACTCTCAAGGGATGATACTTTCAAAATATGTAAAAAAAATTCGATTTTTTTGAAGGTTGTAAATGTATTGCTCCCCTTAACCATTCGTATCAAACTACTCTATGTTATATCTCGTGCAAAAGTTTTCTTGAAAAAATGCATAAAAATTATTGTATAAAATGTATATATTGTATAAATATATATCATATGTATTATAGTGTGTGATATAAAATTAAGTAAAAATTTTGTTATTAAAAAGACGAAAGTAAAGACTGCGTTTTATTAAGTATATTGCAGCAGTAGAAATGTCAGATCAGTCCTGGACTGTCGTCAGATTTATTGACGAAGATACAGTCGAGGCAGTACCAACTAGTTGGATCGAATAAAACCGATGTTACTGGCCGCCGTTAAAAAACGAGAAAATTATGGCTATTATTCGCAAGAACGAACGACCAAATACATGTGGCCTTCCTACGGAATTGACCTTTCAAAATAACGGGAGCGTCCCGATTGCACACATTAACAATCGAACACGAAAGGATTTCTCGATCGGAGATGGGCCCGATCGCACACGAACCCGATCGGACACAGACCCGATCGGACACGGACCCGATCGGACACGGATCCGATCAGACATAGACCCGATTGGACACGGACCCGATCGGACACAGACCCGATTGCGCACAGACCTGATTGCGCACGACCCGATCGGACACAGACCCGATTTCGCACGGACCCGATTGCGCACCGACCCGATTGGGCACAGACCCGATCGGACATGGACCCGATTGGATACGGACCCGATTGCGCACGGATCCGTTTGCACACAGACCCGATTGCGCACGACCCGATTGCGCACCTACCCGATTGCGCACGACGCGATTGCACACGGACCTAATTGCGCACAGACCCGTTTGCACACAAACCCGATTATGCACGACCCGATTGCACACGGACCCGTTTGCGCACGGACCCGACATGTGTTATTGCCTACAGCTCGATTGCCTACATACATTATTGCCTACAGTTCACAAGCCTTCCACGCGAAATGAGGACCACCTCACACCAACAAACGGTTTGGCTAGGGTTTGATTTTTTTTCAAAAATATTACAAGCGGACACTGTCTACGTTGACACCCCACTGTTCGTGTGCAAACCTGTCTGTACGCAATCGAGTCGGTGCACAATCGGGTCGGTGCGCAAACGGGTTCGTTCGCAATCTGGTCCGTGCGCAATCGGGTCGGTGTGCAAACGGATCCGTGGGCAATCGGGTCGTGCGCAATCGAGAACGTGCGCAATCGGGTCGGTGTGCAAACGGATCCGTGTGCAATCGGATCGTGAGCAATCGGGTCTATGTGCAAACGGGTCCGTGTGCAATCGGGTCGTGCGCAATCGGGTCCGTGCGCAATCGGATCGGTGCGCAATCGAGAACGTGCGCAATCGGGTCGGTGTGCAAACGGATCCGTGTGCAATCGGATCGTGAGCAATCGGGTCTATGTGCAAACGGGTCCGTGTGCAATCGGGTCGTGCGCAATCGGGTCCGTGCGCAATCGAGTCCGTGTCCGATCGGGTCCGTGTTCGATCGGGTTCGTGTCCGATTGGATCCATGTTCGATCGGGTCCGTGTCCGATCGGGAAATCCTGTCGTGTCCGATTGTTAATGTGCGCAATCGGGCCTCACTCCAGTGTTCGATCGGGTCCGTGTCCGATCGGAAAATCCTGTCGTGTCCGATTGTTAATGTGCGCAATCGGGCTTCACTCCGAAATAACACTTTTGGTAAGCATATGCTTCGTTCGTTTGTATATCTGTGGTAAATCTATGCATGAATCACGAATAAAGTCAGACTAAACGTTTTCATTTTAAAAAAGGCATATATATGTTAACATCATATTATAATATTTAAAACATTAAAATTTCTTCGATAGATTATTATTAAATCTAATTTCTTCTATATAATAAATTAAATTTTAAATATTTTAGTTCATATTATGTTTTTAGATACGAATAAATGTATCACGCGTAATTCTTAGATTAAATTCTAATATAATCTGAATATGAATTTTTATATTTTTAGCTGATTACAAAACTGTTAGGGAAAAATGCAAAAAGTCAGAGTCCACCTCCGACTTGAATTCTGAAGCAGATGTACGTCAAAAACGATTTATTAGGCTATTATCTTCTTCTGAAGACGAAGATAATAATAGGATCCAGTTGCCAACAACTCCGCTTTTGAAAGGTTTGTTTAAATAATTATTTAAATATTTGTTTAAATGTATTCTAACTGTACGTATTGCGGCAAAGTATATATATTCTGTATAAAATTCAATTTCAAAAATAACAAATTCAAAGCAAAAAGAAGACTAAATATCGGCTTGCCTTTTCGGCAAGAGGAAAGTAATAATGATAATGGATCTACAAAAAACACTTTATGTATACAATAATTTGTTTAAATACTGTTTCATTAAAAATATACTCTTAAATCAAATTATCATGTACTGGTCAATTTTTTAATTAATTATAAATTTTTAACGCAGGTCTTATTGGTATCATAAAATATTATATTAAAATATTATGAAATATATTGAAGTATTTTTTAATTGGTTTAAATAGTTTAAATAATACGGAAAAATATTTCAATGCTTGCAAAGATGAGTAAGCATAATAATATACAATAATACACAAGAGTAATAAATAATAAATATAATAATACACAAGAGTAATAAATAAAACATATTTTATTTTATAGGAATACCGACAAATGAAGAACTTCCGAGAATAAGAGTTTTATTCGAAATCGTCTAGTACGTTACTTGACCAAGATAATGAGCCATCAAACGTTTTGGATAATGAAATTTGCAATAGTGCATTCAATTCTTCAATTTGCAATTGCAAGCGCTGCCCAATTCGCAAAGATTCGCAAAATAACGGTTTGTATATATTGATACTAAATATTAATAAATATTTTTGGTATACACTTTAAATTTTACATAGTTCTTTATTCAGCTAATTAAGTAATTAAAAAATAATTGTATTTTTAATGTACTTAACTATTATTTTTGTTAATCGTATTGTTTAGTTCAAAAGTATTGATAGTTGCTGATAAATAAAACATTTTATATGCATGTATAATATATTATTAAATCTAGAAAAAAATGTAATCAATGTTGTCACATTTATTAAAATGAAGAACAAGATTTCTAATACCTGATTGATATAAAATTTAATTTTTCAAAATATAAGATACCTTATAATTTATATTTCGGATTTTGTGAAATATTTTAAAGAAATTATACGGCAACAGCATTTCTTTAAAGCATAGATTTGGCAACAAAGTGATAATATAAATGACATTAAAAATGCATTAGAGAATCTGCAGCTTAAATACAAACGGCAACAATGTAGTAAGCAATATCAAACAACAATCCCTTTTTTATTCCTGCAATATTCCCATACGAAATGAAAAGCAGTTAGAGGAGCAAGTGGAGGACTTCTTAAAAATTGATGAAAATTTTGATACATCAGTACTGTATAAAGCTATCATATTTATGTCATAAGTCTGTAATTTGATACTGGTGCTTTATAGTGATGAAAAGATTTACTTTTTTTAGATTTTAGAAACTTTAAAAGTTGGAGGAAAAACTGCTTACGAATTCGTAAAACGTAACTTGAGCCAAATTCTCACCAATGAACTAGCTAAATATAGTTAGCTAAGAAAGAAGAATAAACGTGTATTCCAGACATTAAAGCTATACAGATTTGGCAACAAAGTGATAACATAAATGACATTAAAAATGCATTAGAGAATCTGCAGCTTAATACAAATGGCAACAATGTAGTAAGCAATATCAAACAACAATCCCTTTTTTATTCCTGCAATATTCCCATACGAAATGAAAAGCAGTTAAAGGAGCAAGTGGAGGACTTATTAAAAATTGATGAAAATTTTGATACATCAGTACTGTATAAAGCTATCATATTTATGTCATAAGTCTGTAATTTGATACTGGTGCTTTATAGTGATGAAAAGATTTACTTTTTTTAGATTTTAGAAACTTCAAAAGTTGGAGGAAAAACTGCTTACGAATTCGTAAAACGTAACTTGAGCCAAATTCTCACCAATGAACTAGCTAAATATAGTTAGCTAAGAAAGAAGAATAAACGTGTATTCCAGACATTAAAGCTATCACAGTTATTAACCGGTACGTTTTTAATCATCATTATATACTTGTTTTTTTAAAACTGCTGATTTAAATGGATGTTAAGTAGATAAATATTGTATATACTCGTTTCTGTTATAGCTGCAGGCGAGAAAGACAACGATACTTTTACAAGAAAGGATATCGAAGAAGCAATACAAAAATGGCTGAAAAGGGCGAAAGAAAGGTGTGATGCGGAACAAAAAAGATTGAATGCTCAAAGGCAATCCGAAAATCTATAAGATTTTTTAAGCCTCTGATTTATCATTTGTAATGTAAGCTCTTTCCAGTTCCTACTAGACATGCAATCCCTCTGACTATCACTTGTTTCCATCAATGGCATACGGCCTGGCTGACCAGCACTTCCGTTCTTATGAAGAAGTAAAAAATTTCATCGATTCGTGGATCGCCTCAAAACATGACCAGTTTTTTCGACGCGGGATTCGTACGCTGCCCGAAAAATGAGAGAAAGTAGTGGCCAGCGATGGACAAATGAATTTGAATCATAAATGTATAACCAGTTTTTTACAATAAAGCCTCGAATTTCGGAAAAAAAACGACGGAAGCAAAGTTGTACACCTAATACTAAAAATCTAGTGCCGGATCGTGGCTTTTTTTTCGTTGCTTATTTTTCTTTTACTATCAAGAATATGTTTTTCCGATCATGCAGGTAGACATAACCCCTTAATTAAAGGGCCATTCACCCAAACCCTTTTTCACTTTTTACGTTCTCGACCCCGTCTTGCGAATGATATAGGGCACATTCCAATTCGTATTTCGCAATTCGTGCCATCTCCTTGTCAATTATCTACATTAACTATTACTAACTGTAACTTGAAAATGATATCGAAACATTTGTCATCTTGCTTTGTATAATTCTAATAAAAGCTAAGTGTTAAGAATATTTTGTACAAGTGTAGAACCAAGCAAAATAATAGCACAAAGTTGATATAATTGTTTGCAAATCGCATTTTGGGAAACAGACGTAACACTTTTCTTGTGTGAAACGCGACTGTGCTTTTTAACAATGAACCAGTTAATAACATGGAATAAACTAATTTCAATTACGAATTAAAAAGTATAAACATTAAGGAGGGAGATCACTGTGAAATTTTCAAAAAATCGAAAAAATTTTTTTCTTTTAAAAAATAGTTTAAAGCTTGTAGAACAAGGAACAAAAGGTCCCAAGTATAAATTCAAGTTAGTTTCCGAGTTACAGAGCCTACAGTCGACCTACAACAGGCTCGCACCTGCGCACCGGCCGCTTAGAATTGGCCGTACAAGCCCTACACAGGCTAAACTGGTCAGAACACGTTATGTTCCCCCTGTATCCCTTCTTCTTCCTAATGTATTTTAGGGTATATAAAGCTAGAGAAACCATTACCTCGATACATATCCGTTAATCAGTCATCCGGTATTCATGTCGTAACACGCGTTATTTTACGAAATTCGGAATATTACTTTCAAATGGAGAACGTTTATTACGGACTTGCTATTAGAAGACATAAAAATTCAATAGAAGATATGAAAACTGCAATATGGGCAACGATAAAGCACAAATCGTCAACTGACGCTAAACCGCAACATGAGAACTGTCTGCCCGGGCCAAGCTCTTGGTGTTCCTGGCAGGTAGCAAAAGCAACAAATAAATTAAGTGAATACTCTCACAAACCTGCTCTTCATCCCGATATTATAAAGGCAATCACTCCTATCTATGAAAAACTTAGCAAAGATGATTTATTACAGCGCTATTTGGGTGGTTACACCCAAAATTCAAATAAGAGCCTGAACGCGCTAATTTGGAGCTACGCTCCAAAATCGACGTTTAGCGGTACCGACAGCGTTAAAATTGCTGTTTATATTGCCAGAAGTATATTTAATCAAGGCTATTCAAGCGTTTTGTTAATGATGAATAACATGAACATAGTCATCAGGCCTATTGCAGCCAACATTTACGAAGCCTTGGATAAAGAACGGATTTTAAACGCTAAAGCACGCACGTCCAAAGCATCAAAAGAAGATCGTATCTTAAAACGGCAGAGCAAAGCCGGAAGCGACGATAAGGAGGATAACTATTACGAGGCTGGCATGGCAGATCAGCGGTAAGAACAAAAATATTTGCATTATATAATATAAAAAATACCTAAAACTTTAAATGCTTTTTTCTCGAAATCGTGTTTTTCAAAACGGTGTCGAAGGTTTCTCGTGATATACTCATCGGATTAAAGTAAACATGATTTTTTTATATTCCTTATAGTTTTCTCTAAGCATTGACCGACAATTTTTGCGATATTATTGTTATTTTGTAAGATATTAATAAATTAATGAACAAAATTTGTACCAAAAACCAATCAAAAATTCAAAAATTTTTTTTTCAGTAAAATTAAAAAAAATTTTTAAAAAGCTCGGTCGATGCTTAGGGAATACAATATACTTTAATAATATTATTTTTATTTTGGTTTCAGATAATCCAATATGGCGGAATCGTCGACATCAATAACCGGTGCAAAAAAAATTTGCTTTTTTTCACACAATCATAAATGATATTATAATTTTTTTTTCTTCTGTTTATATATATTTAATATCTTTGTTAAAAGTAAAAAGGGCAAAGAGCCAACGTATAGAAAATTACCAACACATATATATGTATATTAAAAATAATAATACAAAATACATACAAATTTAGCAAATGTTTCGAATCCGATCGGATCATTTTCAATGATAACATAAAAAATATATATAACGTACAGAATCAAATTTCATGTAATATCGCCACTTGAAGAAACCTTCCTACGAACAGTTTCGGTGGTCGCCGTTTGTCTCCGTGATCATTACAAACCGAGCCTTTGTTGTGAACGCTTCGGCTGTTATAATATTCTTATATTCGTCCTGTGTACTAGCATTGTAATTCGCTCAAAAATTGAATAAGTTTAATTTAATTGAAGATGTTACTTGTAATAATGAATTTGCAGTTTATAATTACTCACAGGTAATGTTACGGTCTGAATAAACGGACAATTTATTACTTATGCAGTCATTTAATGTAATTAATGTGTTTATCGTGTAATTTATACGAATTGTAGAACCGGTTTTTGTTTATTATTACTGAACTTGGATACATTTCATTATCTTCTCAATTTGGTTTAAAAGAACCGTTTATTTAACATTATGAAGATTTTTATACACAATTTATTATTGTATTACGTACCTCGGTATGTAATACTGGACTTTCATCCTTTGTCCTAAGCTATATTTATTGAGTTTATAATTTTTGACTATTTCAACGATGACATATTGATGACTGTGGTAATTTTGTTCTTTAATCTTGTGAGTAATATATCTTGAATTTTTCTGTTAATTATTAGATAATTACATTGAATTTTTAGTAGTGCTCACTTAAGTGTTACAATTCTTCATAATTACAGTTTTAAGTAATTTTACATGTATTAATTGTTAGTTGTATATTATAAATTGTAATTTTTGATCAAAGAATTTATTGTTATTGACTTTAGCATTCGCGATTTCTTTTATACACATTTATTTCCGAGGGATCAGACTTAGAAAGATACTACCCAGATTTCTTCAAGTGGCGATATTACATGAAATTTGATTCTGTACATTATATATATTTTTTATGTTACTAGAACATAACAGGCGCGCGCTTCATGTTTTGTATGTATTTTGTATTATTATTTTTAATATATACAGGGTGGACCATCTGAAGTGATCCAGTCAAATATCTCGAAAACTAGTAGGGATAGAGAAAAATGTTTCGTATGAAAAGTTTAGGGTT